GCATCCTTGGAGTAACAGTGAGAACCTGGATGCAAACAGTTAATTCTTCAGTGTCTCCATGTGCTTATTCTTTGGTATGTAATTTAAAAAAAAAAAAAAAAAAAAAAAAAAAAAAAAAAGAAAAAAAAGTTGTGGGTTTTTCAGGAAATCATGAGGAGGAGTGTGGAAGGGGGAAGGGGGGCGGAGGGGGGGGGAAGGCTCTGGGTTCGTGGCCTCTTCTACAAAGGCTGAACGTCACTTTTTTGGGACGGTGCGCGCGGCATCTGGAGACAAAGCCGGGGCCTTAAACGCTTCCAGATGTGGCGGCTGCGGCAGCTGCTGGGCTGGGGGGGGGGAAAGGCCCCTCGGCGCCGCCGGGGAACCGTCTCCTCCAGCCTCTGCGCCCACCGCCCGGCCACGGGTCCTTCCCTCTGTCCCTCCATCCAGCTGTCCGTCTATCCCTCTGTCCAGCCGTCCCTCCTTCTGTCCCTCCATCCATTCATCCATCCCTCCTTCTGTCCTTCCATCCCTCCATCCATCCCTTCTTCTGTCCATCCATCCATCTGTCCGTCCCTCCTTCTGTCCATCCATCCATCCCTCCTTCTGTCCTTCCATCCGTTCATCCATCCCTTCTTCTGTCCATCCATCCATCTGTCCATCCCTCCTTCTGTCCATCCATCCAGCCATCCATCCCTTCTTCTGTCCATCCATCCCTCTGTCCATCCCTCCTTCTGTCCTTCCATCCGTTCATCCATCCTTCCATCCATTCATCCATCCATCTATCCATCCCTCCCTCCATCCATCCCTCTGTCCATCCCTCCTTCTGTCCTTCCATCCGTTCATCCATCCTTCCATCCATTCATCCATCCATCTATCCATCCCTCCCTCCATCCATCCCTCTGTCCATCCCTCCTTCTGTCCTTCCATCCGTTCATCCATCCTTCCATCCATTCATCCATCCATCTATCCATCCCTCCCTCCATCCATCCCTCTGTCCATCCCTCCTTCTGTCCTTCCATCCGTTCATCCATCCTTCCATCCATTCATCCATCCATCTATCCATCCATCTGTCCGTCCCTCCCTCCCTCCGTCGATCTGTCCATCCATCCATCTATCCATCCCTCCCTCCATCCATCCCTCTTTCTGTCATCCATCCATCCATCCTTCTGTCCATCCATCTGTTCTTCCATCCCTCCTTCCCTCCATCCCTCCCTCCATCCATCCATACCTCCATCCATGCATCCATCTGTCTCTCTCTCCATCCATCCCTCCTTCCCTCCCTCCCTCCTTCCATCCCTCTGTCCATCCCTCCCTCCCTCCATCCATCCCTTCCTCCTTCCCTCCATCCCTCTGTCCATCCATCTCTCCTTCCATCAAACCCTCCCTCCATCTCTTCCTCCATCCCTCCCTCCATCCCTCCCTCCCTCCATCCCTCCATCCCCCCATCCCCTCCGATGGGGAAGAATTCCCAGTTCCCCCGGTGCCGACGGGGTGGGCTCCAGGGCTGGCAGCGTCCCCGGGGTCTCCCGGGCACCAGGAGGGACCACAAATCCCTTTCTCCAGTGGTTTTTTTGGTGCTTCCAGACCCTTCCTTGGTTTTCTGAGGGATTCACGGTCCCTTCTTGTGCCGGAGCTGCTGCCGAGTCGGGGGGGGCTCTGGGGGGGGCAGGTTGATCCATCCTCGTTAAATCTTGGGTCCGGGCACCACGTGCCGTTGGCCAAAAAAGCCTGTTTTGGTGGCGTTTCCGTGGTGGGAGGGTGAGGAGATCCCTGTCCCTCCCTCCCAGCAGCTCCAATTTTCATCCCGCTCGGGGTGGTTAATTAATGAGCTAATTAATTAGCTCCTTCTCATCCCTCTCTCTCTCTCGCCCCCTCTTGCAGGAGAAGGAGAAGAAATACATGTTGCCTTTGGATAATTTGAAGATCAGGGACGTGGAGAAGGGCTTCATGTCCAACAAACACGTCTTCGCCATCTTCAACACGGAGCAAAGGTAGGGGCTGGGGGGGGTGGGAGCTGGGGACCCCCCCGAAATCCCTGGGGTGGGGGCTCCAGACACCCCCAAAACCTCCCGTCACCCCCCGGGGTGGAGGGACCGATGGGTCTCCCCTTCCCTCGGCTGGATCTTGGCGGGGGAAGGACTTCTCCAGAAGAAGCAGCATCTTCCCCATATTGAGATAGAGCTTCTGGAGGGAGTTCAGGCATCGGGGGGCTTGTACCCCATGGTCCTCACCCCTCCATGGTCCTCACCCCTCCATGGTCCTCACCCCTCCATGGTCCTCAACCCCTGTGGTCCTCACCTTTCCATGGTCTTCACCCCCTCGGGGTCCTCGCACCGTCGTGGTCCTCACCCTTCCATGGTCTTCACCCCCCTGTGGTCTCCACCCCTTTGTGGTCCTCACCCCCTCCATGGTCCTCACTCCTTGATGGTCCTCACCCCTCCAGAGTCCTCACCTCCTCTGTGATCCTCACTACTTGATGGTCCTCACCCTTCTGCGGTCCTCAACCCTCCATGGTCTTCACCCCCCTGTGGTCTTCACCCCCTTGTGGTCCTCACCCCTCCAGAGTCCTCACCCCCTCTGTGATCCTCACTACTTGATGGTCCTCAGCCCCCGTGGTCCTCACCCTTTTGCGGTCCTCAACCCTCCATGGTCCTCACCCCCCTGTGCTCCTCATCCTTTCATGGTCCTCACCCCTTGATGGTCCTCACCCCTCCAGAGTCCTCACCACCTCCATGGTCCTTACTACTTGATGGTCCTCACCCTTCTGCGGTCCTCAGCCCTTGATGGTCCTCACCCCCTCGTGGTCCTCACCCCTTGATGCTCCTCACCCCTTGATGCTCCTCACCCCTTGATGCTCCTCACCCCTTTAGAGTCCTCAGCCCCCGTGGTCCTCACCCCTTGATGGTCCTCAGCCCCCGTGGTCCTCACCCCTTCAGAGTCCTCAGCCCCCGTGTTCCTCACCCCTTGATGGTCGTCACCCCTTGATGGTCCTCACCCCCATCTCTGCTCCATCTCCCCCAGGAACGTGTACAAGGACCTGCGGCAGATCGAGCTGGCCTGCGACTCGCAGGAGGACGTGGACAGCTGGAAGGCCTCCTTCCTCCGGGCAGGAGTTTACCCGGAGAAAGACCAAGTAAATAAGAAAAACATCAAAAAACCCCAATGACCATAAAAATTTGCCCGACCTGGCCCTGGGGGAAGGGAGGGGGCTTCTTGCCAGGTCCATAACTTGCTCCCCCCACCTTTCCTTCCCCCCACCCCGAGCAGACGGAGAGCGAGGAGGGGGCCCAGGAGAACACCTTCTCCATGGACCCTCAACTGGAGCGGCAGGTGGAGACCATCCGCAACCTGGTCGACTCCTACGTGGGCATCATCAACAAGTCCATCCGCGACCTCATGCCAAAGACCATAATGCACCTCATGATCAACAACGTGAGTGGCTGCACCAGGGGGGGGGATTTTGGGGTTCCACGGGCAGGGGAGGAGAAGAGGAGTCATCCTGGACCCCCCCGAGGGCATCAGAGGGGGCTGTGTTGGGGCCAAAGAGTGGGATTTGACCATCTTTGGCTTCTTCGTTTGGAGGGGACCTTCTGGGGAAGGGGATTTTGGGGTTCCTCAGGGGTGAGGAGCAGAGGAGTCATCCTGGACCGCCCCGAGGGCATCAGAGGGGGCTGTGTTGGGGCCAAACAGTGGGATTTGATGATCCTTGGCTTCTTTGTTTGGAAGGGACCTTCTGGGGAGGGGGATTTTGGGGTTCCTCAGGGGTGAGGAGCAGGGGAGTCATCCTGGACCCCGCCCAGGTGTCAGAGAGGGCCATGTTGGGGCCAAACAGTGGGATTTGACCATCTTTGGCTTCTTCGTTTGGAAGGGACCTTCTGGGGAAGGGGATTTTGGGGCTTCATGGGAAGTGGAGGAGAAGAACCATCCTGGACCCCCCCAAGGGCATCAGAGGGGGCTGTGTTGGGGCCAAAGAGTGGGATTTGACCATTTTTGGCTTCTCATTTTTATGCTTTCGTGCCCGAGGAGGAGCTTTGGTTCTTGGCATTTCCTCCAGGAGACACCAAACCCTCCTCCACCTCGGAGGCTCCACAGGAGGAACGTTCCTCATCCCCCACCGCCTCCATCTCCCATCTCCTGCACCCACCAACCCATGGCTTGGTTTTTTTGACTTCCTTTTATTAATTTTTCCCCTTTTTCAGACCAAGGATTTCATCCACTCGGAGCTGCTGGCCTACCTGTACTCCTCGGCCGACCAGAGCAGCCTGATGGAGGAGTCGGCGGAGCAGGCGCAACGGCGGGACGAGATGCTCCGGATGTACCACGCGCTGAAGGAAGCCCTCAGCATCATCGGGGACATCAGCACCAGCACCGTCTCCACCCCCGTCCCACCCCCCGTGGACGACACCTGGCTCCAAACCAGCTCTGCCCACAGGTCACCGGGGAATTTGGGGATTCCTGGTGGGATTTGGAGGGATAAAAACCCGATTCGAAACCCGGTTTGGTTGGAAACCCCATGGAGATCCACCAAGGGCAAGCGTAGGGTGATGCCCCCCCAACAACCCCCCCATGAGGAGAGGTTGGGGGTGACCAACTGGAGCACTGGGACCAGTTATGGGTTCCCCAGTTCCAGAAGGACAGGGTGGAGAGGGTGGAGCAAAGGGCCATGAAGATGATGAGGGGCTGGAGGATCTCTCTGCTGGGATAAAGGCGGATTCGAAACCCGGTTTGGTTGGAAACCCCATGGAGATCCACCAAGGGCAAGTGTAGGGTGATGCCCCCCAACAACCCCAAACCAGGAGAGGTTGGGGGTGACCTGCTGGGGAGCAGCTCTGAGGAGAAAGACCTGGGGGTCCTGGTGGACAACGGGGTGACCACGAGCCACCAATGTGGTGGCCAAGGAGGCCAATGGCATCCTAGGGAGCATCAGGAAGAGCGTGGAGAACCTCAGGGGAGGTCATCACCCCCACTCTGGTCTGCCCCATCTGGAGCACTGGGACCAGTTGTGGGCTCCCCAGTTCCAGAAGGACAGGGTGGAGAGGGTGGAGCAAAGGGCCATGAAGATGATGAGGGGCTGGAGGATCTCTCTGCTGGGATAAAGGCGGATTCGAAACCTGGTTTGGTTGGAAACCCCATGGAGATCCACCAAGAGCAAGTGTAGGGTGATGCCCCCCAGGGAGGAACAACCCCCCCATGAGGAGAGGTTGGGGGTGACCCGTTGGGGAGCAGCTCTGAGGAGAAAGACGTGGGGGTCCTGGTGGACAACGGGGTGACCACGAGCCACCAACGTGGTGGCCAAGGAGGTCAACGGCATCCTGGGGGGCATCAGGAAGAGCGTGGAGAACCTCAAGGAAGGTCCTCCCCCAACTCTGCTCTGCCCCATTGGAGCACTGGGACCAGTTGTGGGTTCCCCAGTTCCAGGAGGAGAGGGAACTGGTGGGGAGGGTCCAGGGGGGACTGGGAGGATGATGAGGAGCTGGAGGATCTCCATGATGAAGAAAGGCTGAGGGACTTGGGGCTTTGGAGTCTGGAGAAGAGCAGACTGAGGGGGGGTCTCATGGGAGGGGGGGTCTCATGGATA